GATAGATTCTGGCTCGCTATATCATTCTCCCCCAGGTCACCCAACTCAGTCCCCACAAGAGAGCCAAGCTCTACTCTGAACCTGTTTTGGGTGCTGGGTTCTGGGGATTCAGAGATATATGAAACATGGCCGCTGCCCTCAAGGGCATAGTGAGAAAGATAGCAGTGTAAACAATTAATTACAATACAGTGTGACAAGGACTATAACAGGAGGCTGTGTAAGGGAAGGAAGGAGAGAGATTAGCCCTACCAGGGAAGTCTAGAAATGCTTCACAGACAGGACATCTTCAGATGTCTTGAAGCATGAGGAGTAGTTTGCCACACAGACAAGGAAAGGACCTTCAGAGCAGAGTACAGAGCATGTGGGAGAGGGGTGTGTGTGTGTGTGTTGGTGGACTGGCAGGAGACAAAGCTGAGGGCAGAGGCAGGGCTGGTCTGATCATGGGGTCCCTGCTAAGGAGATTGCACTTGATTCTGTAAGTCTAATGAGAGCCAAAACAGGGTTTACGTAAATGGATGATCCTATCTGATGTTTTAGAAAAATAACAGCATGATCCCAATTAGGAAGGTGCAACTCCCCAGTAAGTATTCCCACACTCTCTCAGTGAGACCTCTGCTAGCCAGCCTAGGAGCCAGTAACCCCCCCCCCCCGAGCTTTGGGGACCAAAGCAACCAAACCTACACCCTTAAAAGGAACTTCATAACCAAACTGTGAGGGGACCAAAGCCATACTGGGGCCTGTCCAAGGACTTTCCAAGTGTGAAAGGTTGAAAAGTGGGAAAGAAAGAAGAATGAAATGGTGTCTCTGTGAGAGCATCATCTTGCCCCATTTTGAGGAGTCTCAAGGAGCAGTTGACTTTGTGAGTAAGGAAGAGCTCTATCACAGGTCATGGCTGGGCCTGAGAGATTTTAGCAAGTAGAGGGGACAACCAAGATGTTGAAGAGATCTTGAAGAGCTAATGGCCAGCACTGACTAAAAGTTTTAGGAATTTACTGGGAACTGTTGTGAAGTAAATAATCCATTGGGCTTAAGACTTAGCATCACAGAGGAAAAGAGTGTCACCCTGAAAAAGCAGGACTATATCAGCTGTACTCAAATATTATCATTAATTCCAACAGAGCAGCACCATCACTGGAATGTGCCAGAGAACTCCCTGAATGCCCAAATAAGTTATTTGTAAATAAAGTGAGTAGGGAAAGAATTAGATCAATTTATGGTTTCTAGAAAATACTCTTTTAGTACTCCAGAGAAAAAAATTCTGAAGTACTGAGTGCCAGAAATGCAAAATATATGAGTATTTCCCATAGATGTGATTACTGTTGTCATCATCACCACCGTCATCCCCAATCCTGTTGTCATCAAATTCTAAGTCAGATTCTCCCCCATGAAGAACTTCAGGGTCTGATAAAGTTCATGTTATTTCAATGCCTACCTTACCATCAGCCAATGACCGAAGTGTGAGAAAAACTATGCCCAGTAGAAATTGTTTTCCTTCCTGTGCAGATAACACCTATGTTAAGGTGATAATGCCTTTCACCTCCAGGAGTCTGAAACCATAGATATGTGTATAGTAAGATGTGCCAAAGTGACTGACGAGTGATTTATTACAACAAGTAACTCAATAGATAATTGTTGCATACAAGCCCTTGTGTACGGAGCTCCATAACAGCTCTAGTGGAGAATGCGTGACATGCTCTACGTACACAATTTCATATCTAATGAGCACTGGAGAAAGATGATCCTGATTGGTAGGAAGGGCAGCCATTTCAGACCCTCAGAGCTCTCATGTGCTCATCACACTGGCTTTTTCTGTAATTCTCATTGCATTTTATGGCACCTGCTCCTTTTCTCCCCTTCTCCTCCAGCAAACTGTAAGCTCCTTGAGGGCCAAGATGGAGTTGTACCCATATCAAAGCCGGCCTAACCATTCCTACCTAGGAGAGCTGAAAATACAGAGCTTCCTAAACCTGAATGTGCATTAGAATCATCAGAGAATTCCTGGCCAACCTCCAGGCCTTCTGCATCAAACCAGGATCAGGCCCAAGAATCTGCTTTTTAACAAGCCACCTCCCCCGGCCTCCCCCTCAGATGGTTCTGATTCAGGGAACCCCCTCAGAGAACACTTTTCAATGGATAAGCCTAAGATATAAGCAGGAGCACACGCTTTGGACCAGATAGAGCCAGGCTTTATCTCGTTCTATAGTGACTAGCTACAGGGCAGACTTGTACAAGTTTAAGCTGTTTGTGCCTCAGTTTCCTCAGTTATAAAATAGGGGTGGATACAAACTCATGGAAACAGAAAGCAGGATAGTGGTCACCACGGGCTGGGGGAGGGGGAGGGGGAGTAGTTGTTTAATGGGTACTGAGTTTCACTTTTGCAAGATGAAAAGTCCTGGACATCTGTGGCACAGAAATGTGAATATACTTACACGACTGAACTGCACATTTAAACATGGTTAAGATGGCGAATTTTATGTTACGTGTTTTTACCACAATTAAAAAGAAAAATATTATTAATGAGGATGGGTAATAGTGTCTCCCTCACAGTGTTGGTATGAGCATCACATAAAATAAAGCATGTCAAGTCCCAGGCACAGTTCCTGGGCTAGCAACTGCTCAAAACATTATAGCTATTATTATTGTTGTAGTCATGGTTGTTAAGGTTTTTAACCATGAATGAGTTACTATTTAAAGGCATTTTAAACCAAATTATAATCTGAATCTTCAAGCTGATGGAAGTTCCCTCTCCTTTTTGCAACGGTACGCCAATTTCTCAGGCACGCACTGGGCTGTGAAACTGAGACTTATCTATAACCATTCATTAGAGAATGTTTCAAACCCTGCCAGCAAATCCAAGTAGCTTTTGACAAACCGCATTTTTCTAAGTCCTGACCCACAGACCGTTCACATTTCACATGTGGATCCATATGTTAAAAAACCAACCATATTATATGTTGATATTGAAAGCAGGAGAATATTCATATTAGGCAGTCTGATTCTTAACACTAAAATCCTCAATTTGCAGAGATGAAGGAAACAAAGACAAAAATTGTGAATTTTGTTCTCCAGCTTAAGCTGAATAAAGGAAGTCAAGCAAAATCTGCCATAGAAGAAAGAAATGATCTCCCTGTCTTAAAAAACTATATGAAATATTTTGCATCTTTGATGTGCATGTGGAACCCAAAGCAGATTCGAGGAACATGGCATAGACCCAAAGCCGTCATTTTGATTCTCTGTGCATCATTTTGATTTCATGCGCATCTGTGCTAATTTAGTCTCCCCAGCCTATTATTTAAGCCTTAGCCGGACAGATGTGTTGTTTTACAGGGCCATAATCCACTTGGTGGGCGGATAACCAGGAGGCCTTTGGTCTTCATCATTTACTCCAATAAGAAAACTAGACTATTGCCTTGTAAAACAGCATGAGTCGCACGCCCTGATTTCACATGTCATGCTAACCCATGGAACATTCTTGGAACTTCTAACCAAATTCATAAAATTCATCATGGTCACAAAGATGACCAAAATTAGCTCTAGGCTGAATGAAATTAGGCAAAGGCCAATCTGGGAGTATAAATAGTAAAAATGAGAGGGTTGGAAAATGACTTACGGTATAGGATTTTAGGCCACACAGGTGTTCGTATGAATCAGATTTATCATTCTAAGGCTGAGAAGGTTAGGCACTACTGGTGAAAATTCTAATCCTAGAGGCTTTTAAATCTCTTGATTGAAAAATAAATTCCAAAGTCATTGCTAAGGATTCCCTGCCAATTTTTTTTTTACTTCCATCCTATGTATAACTCTATGTTATTATGGGAGATAAGGGTTTCCAGAGAGCCTAGGAGACCCATCCCAGAAGTCCTGAATAATGATAACATTGACTGTTGAGACGTGGCACTTGTGAAATATAGATATGGATGGCAATATATGCAAATGGACCATCAGCTAGAATTATGATTGCTCCAGTCCACCTCCGGGTCTCAAAAGATCACCTGCTCCACATTCGCACCAGCATCTTGCCAAAAGGTAGAAAGAAGGAGAATTAAGATGACGAGCTGTGATTGTAAACAGCAAAAAGAAGTGAGTAAAAGAACATAAATAACCAGACGTTAACTTCAGATTCTGGGCTTGCTGCCTTCTGTCCACTTAATTTTCCTTTTTCTGATGCAATAAACTACCTTCTTATCTTAATGTGGGGGTCTGTGATGAAGACTTGAAGTTCTGAGGCCCAGGTATTAGCCATAGCTCTAACTTTTCCCAGTCATGTAAACTTGGAATATAACTGACTACTCTGGGCCTCAGTGTCCTCATCTAGAACAGGACCTAGAACACATGACATATTCAATAAGTATTTGCAGAGGGTTAAAAAAATGAATCTGCAAAATGGGGATAAACCGGAAGATCTCAGTGATTCCTCCTAGTCTCACCATTCGACAGACCTCTGATTCCTTTCTTAATACGTGTCATTCTGATCCTCTTCTGCTAGTGTGGACCACAGACGAGTCTCTTTTCACTCACTACACAATTCTGCCTTACGTTCTCTCATTGCGTGATAGTGTTACCCCTCAATTATGTTACAGCAAGAAGGAAACATTTTGCCGTTAACCTGATCACACAATTTTTTTAAACAATAATCAGTTGCCAAAGTGTATGACTGTTTTTCAAGTTCTATGCAATATTTCAAAAACTATATGTATAAGGAAGTATTTACATTTTCCTTCCACTGGTTTCTGCTTGATTTCAAGAGTTAAATGAACAGTTTCCAATACTTGTGTCTGATGCTTTTCCTCTCCATTAAAATGCTGAAGGCTTTTTTTTCCCTCTAGGAGGAAAAAAGAAATCTTTCCCCTATAATTTACTTTGCCTTTCTCAAAAGTTGGGTAGGAAGTCAGTATAATTCAGGTGGAATCTAAAATGTTCTTGTTGTACAAGTGTGCACGGAAAGGAAGCCTATAATTTCCGAGCATTCTTTCAGGAAGTTTGTATTCTCTGTTTTCCAGGGAGCCTTTACTTTCCAAGGGAGCATGATCGACATGCCATTACTGAAGCAAGCACAGAACATTGTTACGCTTGCCACATCCATCAAGGAAAAATGATCTGTTAAATGAAGCTCTCATCAGGTGGGCTGAACATATACAGTGGATTTCTTAAAGACAAACCATGATACTCAAGGCAACTTGTTAGTATGCCAGATTGGAACCTTTCTCCATTTACAGTTCATGTTAATCACAATTTTTTTAATCTCACTGGCCAGTCATTCCTCTAAAAATGAACTTTCTTCTTTTTGATTCCAAGCTGATGATTTTGTTGTTCATTAATGCATTACATATATGGACTTAGGATTTCACAGGGAGATAAAGTAGTGGGGGAAGTTAGGTCTTTAATGAAATAGAACTTTCCCGAATACGTATACTCCCTTCACCCTTCTCACGTTAGTAAATGTCTCCCACATTGTTCATTTGTTTGGTTGACACCATAAATTATTTTAAGAAAGCCCAGGCTTTTAAAAAATAACAACTAAATGAATGGGGTCATGTTTATATCACTAGTAATCTGATAAAACAACAGAGATGGCATAGAAAAAGTTGATTGTCATAGTGGCTTATAAAGATATCTTCTAAAAATAAATCTTCAGAACTGATTACCATTAACCTCCACCCCCCAAAATGAAACTTCCATATCCTTGAACTGCTAGATGATGACTATGAAAGCCCTCATCCTGAGTGAACACTTTGGGTCAACAGTGACCAGCAATTAAAAAATAAATGTGCAGAAACACAAGACCATCCCCATTCTGCCCCTTTATTTCCCTGTTTCACTGTTTGCCATTGAGGCCATTTCCCCCCTGTAAATGTATGGCTGGGACAGGGCCCCCTCAGCAATAAACTTGTAGCCTCTAGGAAGACACAATGCGGCAGAGCTGGTGCATATGGTCCCTGCGAGATTTGCATCACATTAGAGATGCTGCTACAGGTCATATGGGTGGTGTGGTTAACGGGCTTAGTAAAGCTGTTTTGAAGAGGTTAACCCAGCTTGTAGTAAGGGTAAATAAACATAACAACCAGCCATTCTTCCCTATTCAGCATGTGCTCTTATATTGAAGGCTAAAGGGTATTGAAGCTGCGAAGGATCAACTTGTGTTTGCCAGAGGACGCCAATGAAATTTGAAACACCAACAATCAGAGATTTTGTTTCTGCTCCTCATTAAATCATGAGCTTTTGTGTTGAGACTCTGGACGACTGTTCTTTAAGAAATTAACAGAATGGGAAGTTTTAAACTCTACACCAACCTTTTCATGACCTACACAGCAGCAAGGCTGCTACTCTTAGACAAACACCACGGGGAAGGCTGTTCTGTTTATTTAAATTTGTAAATAGAAAACAGTTGTTTTTTATTTTCATTTTTCACTTCCTCCTATGCCCTTTTTGTTTATTTCCTCTGTGGCCCTTACCGTGTGCCCCATCCACGGGTCTACTTTCCCCTACCTCTTCCAGTTCTGACAGGAAGCCCGAGAGGGGAGTAGAGTTGAAGGTTAAAATACAAGGAAAGGCACCATGGAACCAAAGCAAAATGGGAGAGGCCCTCATGCAACACCCACCCACCCAGAGCACTGCGGGAGGGGACGATCCGGTTCCCACGGGCATGCTGAAGGAAACTGATCCAGGCAGGATGGTTCTGGGAAAGACATTCTTGAGACACCAACTAATGTTCCCAAGCATGGGATCCGAGGAGACAGCTCTTAAACTGAGATGGGATGTGCTAGGCTGGGGTCCTGGCCTGCATTGGGCAGTGCATCTCCCATCCTCAGTGCACCCCTTTCCAACCCCTCAGGAGAGCATTGTCACCCTCCACCTTGGTCACTCTGTGCTACCCCAGAGTTAGCTGGAAGGGAAGGTGGGAGCTATATCAGCCTCACACGGAGGGGCTGGAAGGAGGAAGATGGTGTCTCAGCCAACTTGGGAGATGACTGGCCTGTAGCCAAACTGGGCTTCAGAACTGCGGACAGGGGCAGTGGGCAGCAGTTACAGGAGAAGCAGTCCCCCCCTTCCCCAGTGTGGCAGTTGTGCCTGCCTAGGCTGGTCGTCAGGTGTGCACTAGGATAATCCAGGACCATAGGTGTCCACACAGTCGGGCCCCTCTGTTCAGAACACAGAGACACAGGAGGACTGCTCAGAAGGCAGAGTCCTACAGGCAGGCCCCGCTTCAACCCAACTGCCCTTCCCTACAGGCAGCCCCCACTTCAACCCAACTGCCCCTCCCATCCTCTGTGTTCATCCAGATAACCCCTCCAGGCTTTGACAGGATGAAAAGGGCAGACGTTCTAGTCTCCACTCCAGTTACACAGGCAACCCCAAACCCTACTGGTGGACATCCTCAAGCCAGAGGCTCCCTGAGAGCCAAGCCCTCCCTCTCAAGGAACCTCAAATGCCAGGGTGAAGGCATTCAGACCTCAGGAAAAGCAGTCCTCTCAGAAAGGACTCTGGGTGGTGCTGAGAGCCTGGACCTGGCTAGGTCTCCGCGCCCCCATCACCAACAGGCCCACAGGTTCCTAGGTCCCCAACCGTGTTGAACTGGTCAACACGCCCTTTATCTCCAACTGCACTTTGTTCAGACAAGACCACCTTGTTGTTTAAGTCTCCCCAAGTGTCAGATTTATCACCTTCCTCATAACCTCATGGTCCTCATTATGGTAGGCTCATGAGACTGGCACCCACTAAAGCCAGAAAGCTGGACCAAGGTGCCACCCTCTGAGCAGAGACCCTAACGAGGGCCCCAGAAGAGGGTTTAGTCAGGGTCAGAGACCTGTTGTGCTTCATTCCTTGAAGAACAAAACTCCAGGACAAGGAGATGCTGGGAGACAAGAGGTATCTCCACTTTTTTCCCCACCCATGTCTCTTTGGTGCCATGGGTGGGCAAAGACATCAAGGAGCGGGGGAGGGAGGTAGGGCTGGGTCAGCTGATCCCACTTGGCATGATGGGAATGCCCAACATGAGGAATCCCTCGGAGCAAGGAAAGGACCGACTATAAAAAGAGGACCTTGCAGTAATCTGATTAATTAAAAAACATACCTGTTTATATTTTGTGTAGCTTATCACAAGATGCTTTGCCGTATCACTCCCCTGTTATTAATTCTTGGGGGCTAAATTATGGGTAACACTATTAAAACATTATCAGAACTAATGAGAAACAATTACTTAGAAAATGAGCCAGGACAAGATTGAGTTGAGAACATCAGTGGTGATCACTGTAGATTAGTTTAATAAATCATCAGGTGCAAGGCGAGACCGACCGCATGTATGCAAAGCCGTGTCACGGGAAAATGAAATTGAGATTTTTTTTGCATAATTTTTTCATTAATCTCAATAGGACCCGTGTGGTGTAGATTGTTTTATTCCCCTCATACCTTGCCTGAGGGGGGGTGCCCAATAATGTCTTCATTGTTTTACTGAGGTCTTAATGACGATTTGTGACAACCTCATTTTAATGTATAGAGGATTATGTCAATACAATCACGTTTTATTGAAACGGTGAGGGAAACTCCGGTGGCGTCCGGCACTGTCCTGGAGCACAAGTTGGGACATTCCGGGGCGTCCGAGAGCGGTTCCCTTCAGATGTCCAAGGGTTGAACCGCTGGCTGCGCTTCCGTCCTCTCCTCCTGCGACCGGCTGGGGAAAGTGTCCTCAAGAACGAAGCCTTCACCGCCTCCGATTTGAATTTGAAAGTAACTCGTTGCCTGGCATATTTTGCTGGGTAAATGGAACCCAGTCGTTTTTATTCCTCTTCTAAAATATACATATTATTATCATTAACACCTTAGCCCCTAATAGTTTTGACGGAGTTAGGGAAACTGACCTTCACTGGGGACGTTGAATTTTCTAACGGTGTCTTAGGAAGAGAACAAAGAATACATGCTTTTTTATTTGAGGGACATTCTGCTTTTACGGTTTCCGTTTATCTTGGCAAGCTAAATGTCGTCGGTTTTTCTTTTTCTTTTTACCTCTAGTACTTGGAAGGCAACTGATGGTACAAAACAGGTTATGAGGTTACCAGCAGGATCCTGTGCATATTAATGCTGGCGAGGGTCACCGAACCGGTGTGTAACCGCGGAGCTTGTGCCCGGGGCTGGGCACCCGGTCCTCCCAGCCCAGAGACCCTCCCCCCGCGAGGTCTTCACATTGCAACTTAGGGGAAAGCAATTAGCAGACCTCCACATTTAAATGTGAAAACCTTAGTCTTTCTTTCCGCTCTTTCTTTTTAATCCGGGGGCGGGGGGGGGGGCTGGCTAAGAGGGCGAAGGAAATGGAAAATAAATTACTTTCAAATACCTAACTTAGTCCCCGAAAGCTGCGCGGGGGGGACCCGGCAGCTTTTTGTTGTTCTGTGACGGTGACTTCTGTTGTTGTTCGTTCACATTCCAGCAATTATTTGGCAGCATATTTCCTTCCGAATCAATAAGAATTGCCAGCGGCAGAAAGAACGTGATGCGTCGGAAGGCACCGAAATCGTCGTGGGTGCCTTTTGCGGTTTGTTTGCGGCCGATGGAGCCCGGTTCCAGCTCAGCGGGCTGGCGCCTGCGGAATTTGTTCTGTAAATTTTTTGCAAAGTCTTTGGGGAATTGCTTGTTGCTCGCGCCCTTCCTTTTTTTAATTTTTGTTTTATTTTCAATAGTAAGTGACCGGCTCGGTTTTACTGCTGGCTTCTTCCGACGGGAAGGGCCCGG